GATTGGTTACCTGGAAACTGTACCGCGGTGCGTGCGTACTCGTTACACGATCACCACATTAAGCCAAAGACCTAAGGTCCTTTGAACGCAAATCGAGTCTCGGGAATAAATTCGATAACTTTTGCAAATGAACTCGGAAAATGGAAATGGTGTTATGAGTAATATCTTTGGATTGCATAAAAGAACGTGATTGGCTGATTCTTTCAACGGTCAAAAATGAACAACACCTCTTAGGGCGAATTAGTACTATGTTCAAACCACGTGAAATACGCATCCACCGTAGGACCGCTCCACTACTTATCCTGTTTGTGGGAATTCTGAAAACCTGTTGCAAATGAGACATTTTGCCGTATGTGCACCAATTTACACATACCATTACCGTTATGTGTAGTAGAGATCGTTGATTCCACACTAGTTGAATGTGTTTGTATGGGGAATTATACATTTTCCAAGGAGTGGAACCTACACCCAAGACCATCGGCAGTGCCTGCAAACAATCGAATGGATCATTTTAAATTTGCCAGTCTTTCTATGCTCCGATCCATCAGTTCACCACTAGGTAAACCTGTATTAGCAGCAGGCATGCAGGACAAGTTGTCGTTCTCCCCATTGGTGGTTACGGTGATCCAACATTGAGATATCCACCCTATACAATTTCCCAACAGATAACAGAAAGCGAGTGATCGGAGCCAATGCGGCCAGTTTTGGTGTAATCAACCGTACTGTGCTAGTACGAGCACGAATGCTGATTGCATTTCATGCTGGAAGCCAAAGATCTTTCACCATATGTATTTATTGTCGTTATTTTCTGTCGATAAACCAACTTTGCATTCATGACCGGGTTCTTGCGAGTTCTGGCAGTCTGTTTTATGCGATATCGATAGAGGGAACATGAGTATCTTGAACAGATCAGGGGTGCACAGTATCCGATAAGATGTAATGGATGTGACTTGAAAAAAGCAAGCGGTTGGTTGAGTAATGGCATTGCCACAGTGACATTCACGAATTCGCGCTCCAGAACCCGTCGTGGTTCAACAGGAATTGTGAGTATATAACACAAGGCAGCGATTTACTTCATTTATACTACACATCTATATGAGTTTTGAGGAAACCAAAAGTGTGCGACAAATTCGACAATGCCGCATTGCTAGGTTTCAGTGAAAATATAGAGGAATCTGAACTGTGAATACGATAGGTGATTTTGTCATGGTTTGTTGAAGTAAGCGGACAGTGTCACATTATAAATTTCTTATAGTTCTACCGGATTATCACGAATTTCTTGTGATTGCTGTCTCCGAACATGTGTCATCCAGATTGAAATTCTACATATTATTACTTTATTCCTGAAAAAAAACTATTCCAGTTGCCGAAATGAATGGTAATATAATTTGTAATGAAATGGGATAAGTCGATATCTCCGAACGAAAGATTCCGATACAACCAATGGAATTTCCCCGTTTATTTTGCTCGATATACATGTACATACATACATACATGCAGACAGACAGAGACGGATTTATATATTGATAGGTTTCACAAATATTCCGGGTAATTATTTTACTACTACTCGATTACAAATTCCATGGCATTGTTTATATTCAAGAAACTCTCCTTGTAATGACAGCATACCATGTGAATGCATCTGATTAGAGTGCATTCACATTCGCGCTATTCGGCAGTGTTTAGTTTTATTCGAATAAACATTCATGGTTTATTCATCACCCATTCTGTGTACAAAAGCGCATTCAGGACCGTGTGAGCAAATTGTTCCAGACCAAAAATGGATTCAGTCAATCACTTGCAGTTATGGAGTCCAAGAGATGTGAAACGCATCGGTGCAAATTTTTACAACAGACGTACGGTTCGGAAATGATATAAGACAGAATAATTGATTGCCAAGCATAAGGATTCTTGAGACTGCGTGTTTCACACTGGGAGGTACTGGACACTATATTACTCAGTGTATATGGATGAATAAGAGAACCATGTGATCCAGATGAACAAGCTTTTCCCATGAGTTCACTGTCTGACAAGCAATGATTATGAGAGCTGTTGGAGTAGCACGATGTCTGTGGGTGATAACGACCTTGATGAATCTCCAACATAATCAGTAGCAATGAGGAGGCACATGAATTGATCAGAAATGTGATTCCTGCCTATCTGGTGGGTGTCGTGTTTGTTATTCGTTCTGTTTCTGTACGCTGTTAACTACGTCGTTCCTTTTGTTTTTCAGCCCATGTACTGCTATTAATAGACGAGTAAAGCGTGTAGTTCCTGCTCTCGTGTTCTCTCTCTCTATCCACGATCGTATTCGCTTGTTGTCCTCTGTAACAGCGGGTACTAGATAACATATGAATTCAAGAAATTCATTTAGCGAGGTTCGGGAAATTCCTCGAACAACTTAAAGCTCTAGAGACTTCACACTTTAGACACAAAGGAAGTAGAGGCCTGGCCTAACCCAACCGACGATCACGAAGGTAGCTAGTTTGGGCCCACGAACTTCCATGGTCCAGAACTAATTAAAAAGCTTCATCTGGTGGCGGATATTCAGATATTTGTAAAACCAATGATTAACAGCTACTATTAAATCAGGAGACAATCACCTATCCGCATTAAAATTTCCCATTTTAGTTCGTGCACTTAAAGAAAAGCACTACAGCTAGAACTTAATTCGTCTAAACTAGTGCCCCATTATCCGGACAACCCAAAACTGACTTACATAATAAAATCAAACGACACTGACACCTCAGGTTGTATTACGTGGTGCCGGTAGATCAATGTAGGTTAAGATTACATCGACTCAGAGACTGTGTTCAAGCCCCAAAGCAAGGACTAATCTTCCCAATCAATTTTAGACCCACTTGATTACCCTTTTCATCGTTAACAAGAGTCGATTACAGAACCTTTGGAGGTGTGTCTCACACTAGGTGTAAGCGTTCATTAAAGACGAATATCCAGCCTATTCTTAAACGGTTGTAGTTAGGTTATATATGAGCCTACCGAAATATTGAAACTTAAAAAATAAACTAGAGCTTTTCTGCATTCTCGGTATTTCTCCATTGATTTCAAATTTGATTTATCTTAAGTCAAATGAAATGAGACATCAGTAGGAGAAACTCACCCGACACTAGGGAGATGTGACCAATTGATTATTAGTCCGATCATGTCGGCAGTTTCGGTCACTTTTTTCAGCTGTTCGCCTCCTAAAACCAGAAAACCCGTTTTAAAAGGAATATCCTAGAACCGTTACGCCGAGATCGTTGATCGACTTCCGCACAAAGTTCTTCATGAGGTTCTTGAATTCTGTTTCAATCATGAACTCGGTTCATGAGGTTTGTTGAGACATCAAGCTCTTATTGTATCACATTTTAAAAACTTTTTGATGAGAAGCATGTAGATAAAGCAACTCGGGGGCAAGGAGTTCGTGAACAATAACCAATACAATAGATGTCAAGCAGGAAAATCACACTTGGTTGCCGAAAGACGGATCGGGTAAAACTTCACCCTTCGGGTGCATAAAGTTTACTTTGACTTGAATTGACTACTGCTGCATGTCGGACATAACTAGCATAACATCGATTTCGTAAAACGCAATGTCGCAGTGAAAATTTGTTCCGTGTAGAATGAAACACGGTTGCTTGTACCGCTGAGTAGAAAACCTGTGACCGTTAGAAACAAGAAGCAACAGCCTACTGATCGGTATGGTGAGCAAAGAATTTGTGCTTGTCAAGTGCCTCTTGCTGTAACGGTTCTCTGTTCTCTCAAGTGCTCCACTAACCAATAAGGGCAATAGCTCCACCTGGGTTTCCAAATGACCCTTTCATCCTAGAACACTATCACAATAGTTCACCAGGATTGAATATATTGCCTTTTAAAGCGCATTTTCTTGTCCAAATTCCAGATTGGCATTGTACTGTAATATTGGTCATGCTTAAATTGCACTCCTCAACCTTAAGCCTCAGTGCTTGGAATCGGCACAAATCATGTCTGATCCATTATTTAGTCATAGATATCTATGAATAATCCAGAATTCTCCTGAAGCCAAATAAAGACTACCCCTCACTTCACATATTCAACTCCTGATACAATGAACATTTTACTAAGCCGATTATTTTTCAGGGCAATTACATTGTCCTTCTGACGTACGGTTCAAACTAATTTTGATGAGCCGCTTTCGATATTTGGCCATGTGACTCTTGACTATATAAAATAGCAATGCAACGACACCTTGAGCTAAGAACATAACGGCATATTCGAATCTTTGAGTCATGTTCCTAAATAGCCTTTACAGCACCCTTCATTGCTGTAGAGTTAATGACAACTAATGATACTAAATCAGTTTCGACGGATCCTATGCAATATTCGCGTTCTTTTCAGTCCAAACAGAAAATATTGGTGAAAAACAGAACAAAACAGTTGCACCAGTGTATTTGAAGTAAAATTTGGTCTAACTTCCAACAATAAAGATGAGGTGAAGCGAATCCAACGGCTCTAGTTGCATTCAAAAACGTAGACTGATGGTTTGGTGTCCGACGTGAGATAAATTGCTTTGCTTCTCACTTTCACATCTTCTGTGATTCCTTCTTTTGGCGGATAGATCACACGCGGAGTTAAGTACTCACATACGGAGGAGAAGTCAAATACGGAGCCGCTGGGTGCGGACGATGAAACCAGTGCAACAATCACTGGAGGAAACTGTTCAGCTTTGCGAACGAACAACTCCACTTCTACTCCATTGGTCTGAAAAAAATCACAATTTCAACAGATCCACAGAACGTGTGGTGAACGAAAAGGTCCACCGTCTTCAGGAAACGTATGAATAAATTCTCTTTAAAAAGTCAAGTTAGGAAGTTAGTATGTAGCTCGTAAAAGCTCACTGAAAGGTTTTTGCTGACTACATAACTGCCGTATAAAAGAAACAGGCAAAACTGAGCAACGTTATCACTACTAACAGGGGCTTCAGGGATCATGGAGACCAAATAAAGGAACTTAAGACTTCCTGTTTGTAATCCACAGGCAAAATTAGTCATTAAAGTTGAACTGAACCTAAAAGGTTAACTTACAGCATAATCCGGTTTTAGCAGTTCAAATTGCCCCCAAAGGATGCTCGGTATTTTGCGTAAGGTGAGAAGCTTTTGGATAAGCCACAACGAAGTAGAACGTCGACCGACGGATAAACCGGACTAAAATCAAATAAATGAAGAACTCAAGATATTTCTTCGTTCAGAGAGTAAAACAAATGATCAACTCCGTGTCAAATATATAATCTCTTTAGCTGGTCGAAATCTGTACAACAACGCGAACAGTGGGCCCTCGTGATCCTTTGAACGACAACCAAAATTCTTAATGCAACTCCATGAATCAACACCTCTGTTCCCAAGATTTGTCATGTTGTGTACCCGACAGTTATGTTACACATCTTTTGTTCTCACTGCGCACGGACAAACATAAGAGCCATAATTTACCCACTTAGAGCTTCGTGTGATAAAAGATCATCGTACTTTTTGAAACACGTAGGACGAAAAACATCACCATTACATACATACGGATATACCTTTGGCTTTGAGTTATTCACCCAGATGGCTCAGTCCCGGAAGTATGCGCATCGCTGTGCTGGGTGAAGGTGCTTTGTCATTCAAATCGATCGGGACACCCGACTTTTGGTTGCAAAACAGTGTCAGATTATACTCTCCTTCGCACCTTTCTTTTATTTATCTTTGTTCAAACTTCTCATGGAGTAAAGTTGTTGTCAAATTAAAATGGAATTCATACAAACTGTTGTAAGCTCAACAAACTTAGTTTTAAATACATGCACCAACCGGGAATGGATAAAAATGTAACACCAGCATTCCCAACAAACCTCGACCGTTTCGCGGATTCCGTTTGCCTCCAAGTATTTTGCAAAGCTATTGTTCGTGACACCCGCTGAAAACTCCAACNCCAACCCAGAACGACTCCACGGCATTGGAAAATGACAGGTCAAGACACTATCTCGCTCAGAAAGGTTCGGGAATGAAACTTTTCCCTTCGGAAATAGCTTCATCGGTGCTGTTGTTGTGGGAGTAATACGTGTGGCCAGTTCCGATCCATAATAGAGGATGGGTGAACCTATGAGAAGTAAATGTAAAAATAACATTTAAGTCTGTGCCCAAGGAAGGTAAGACACTAGCAGTGGAAAGTAGAAAAAATAATGCCATGTACATTCGACAGGTCACCCGTGCACACAAACCACATTTCAACATATTTCTCGACGAACTTCGTCAACTAGGAGTGATCTGT